CAAATCCTTCTTTATAAATATTACCAAAGAATGAATATTTCGTAATGACGAATTAATATTTCGTAATAACGAATTATTATTTCGTAATTACGAAATAATATTTCGTAATTACGAAATAATATTTCGTAATAAGGAATCAATATTTCGTAATTAAGATTTTATATTTCGTTAAAACGAAATAATATTTCTAATTGGGAATTATTATCTCGTAAAAACGATTTCAATTCCGGGAGAAAGTGTGGAAAATGTCACTTCAGGTGTTCCGTAATTTTCAACATTATTTGTAGCTATGATTTTTTTTAAGTTGTTCATTTTGTTTTCATTTATTTTGCACTTATTAAAGTATTTATGGTTTAAAATTAATATTTAATTTAATTATTTTGAAATGTCAAAAAATGTCATTTCAATGCCATAAACACAACACAAAACGAGACAAAAGTGTTTTAAAATATATACTGCAACCCATCCCACCCCTACCCCCAACCCCGACGCCCCCCCCCCCCAAAAAAAAAAAAAAAAAAAAAAAAACAACAAAAAAACAAAACAAACAAAAAAAAAAAAAAAACAGTAGGTCTTAAAAAAAGGAAACAGTAGGAATCGAACCATAGACCTCTCACACATCAATCACTTAACCGGCAATGCTACTGTGGTAGTAACGATAACGTTTACATTTTTAGCAGATATGACTTTCACTAACATTAGTTTTATAGTTTACTTTAAGAACAGTATTCTCACTCGTGGCTACGCCACTCGTGGGAATACTGTTTTTAAAGCCCACTCGATGAAATAAAATTTCATCTTACACACAAACAAACAAATATCCTCTATTAATTCTCGCAAACTTTACTAACGAAATCGAAGTGGAATCTAATATTTCAATGAGTGCTGTAATGTATTCATAATTTACAGGTCAATAAAATAAGACTATACAAAATAAGCAATTAGGCTGTGTATACAAACAAATAAAATATTGTTGTTCCAACATGCAAAAGCGGGATTAAGTATGCGCAAAATCACCACAAAATCTTTTTAAAGGCGACATGTGACACATTATAAAATTTATATATAAAATAAAAGATACCACCTTTGTTAAGGCTTTTCTCTAGAAACTATTAACTAAAGACATAATAATAACATAGTTGCACGTATTTAAAAAAATGAATTAAGGCAGTACGAAATTTTAAGAATATGTTTATCCTACTTAAAACATTATCAGGATCAAAAACTCCTGTTGTAACCCAAATATCTACGACATTATGGCTCTATCTCAATCTATGAAAGTTGTTTTCTACCTCAGGTTTATATATCAAAATGTGTTAATTGAGTGTTGAGCAAACTAGGTAAAAAATAGCCAACTTACAAATTTTTACAAATCCTACTTTTTAAATGGTTACAACAACATTTCTGTCCCATTCATTTATAAAATGTGTAACTTGCTGAAATATTGAAATTAATAAAGAGCCGTTTTTCAGCACATTGTGAACATTACACATGTATGCTGCATGTACGTTTTTTTGTGTGTGGTTTTGTTTGTATTTGTTGTTTTCTGCTGAAAATAATGTCTGCATAATTCATTTTTTAGATTCAATTATAACTGCATTAAGGTATACGATGGATAAAAAGTCAGCTTAAACTTAGAAGTGTATACTTCACCACATTCTTAAGATCCTGTAACACATTTTTTTTCATGGTTTTATTTCATAAATATGATGCTCAAATTAATATTTGTCAATATTGTAAGTTCCAATAAGCATTATTTATAAAGATATTACCCAATTTAACATTTCATGTAAATAAAGGGAGGTAATTAGAAATTTATTTTCTATAAATTCTAAGTCAAATTTTCCAATAAGAAATAAATGCCTGTAATTTATTGATTAAATATAATCTTCTCAAATATTTGCAGTACACATTTTACATATTCTTCGATGTTTGAAAATTGTTTTATTTGCATAAATATGTACATATATAATTTTTTGCTATTGTGGTATTCATACAGTAAAATATCAATCACAAAACATACAGGATCTTTAACAAAAATTACAGAAAACACCAAATGCTTACCATCTTGTTTAAAAATAAGTGACTATTTAATTTGAAATTTAAAGTTAAAGTTAAAAACAACAACAACAATAACAACACCATATTTTCATCGAGTCATAAATTGTCTGAAACCGGGAGATTGCTATGTGTGCTTGCTTTACCATGGCAGCTCTCGAAAATTTTGGAATTCAGTCACGGTGTTGAGAAAATTCTACAAGAAGATTATCACATCATTTGATATACATTAGAATTCCGGGTACCCTCCAATAAATCCAGGATATCTTAAAGTAACAGCAAAGTTATCTATAAAAATATTACTTGTAATAAATCGAGTAATATTTACTTTGACCATATATAAAAGTCACGTGGGTTGGCTACATAGTAGAGGTGTTAAAATATAATTGTAATACACCCTTTGTTAGCCATTGAAATAGTATTTAATGTATAAAGGACTTTCAAAAATGGTTATTATTCAGAGCGGGCGCTATGGTGCAGTGGTAACACTGTCTGCCTACAAATCAAGGGGTCGTGAGTTCGATCCCCCGCTACTCCACTGAACGAATAAATGACTACAAGACTGTCAAAACCAGGACATCGACACAGAATGACGGCAACCATAGTATACAAGAGAAGACCTTAACGGAACAGGAAACAAGTACCGAAAGTACAAGACCGAAGACGACGACCGATAACAGAAGGAAGAACGGAGACAAGAACTGACAACAAGCGAACAGAGACGAGGACCGATAACAGAAGAACTGACAACAAGCGAACGGAGACGAGGACCGATAACAGAAGAACAGAGACGAGGACTGAAAACAGAAGAAGAGAGACAGGGACCGTGAACACAAGAACTGACAACAAGCGAACAGAGACGTCGACCAATAACAGAAGAACAGAGACAGGGACCGATAACAGAAAAACTGACAACAAGCGAACAGAGACGAGGACCGATAACAGAAGAACAGAGACAAGGACCGAAAACAGAAGAACAGAGACAGGGACCGATAACAGCAGAACTGACAACAAGCGAACAGATACGAGGACCGATAACAGAAGAACAGAGACAGTGACCGATAACAGAAAAACTGACAACAAGCGAACGGAGACGAGGACCGATAACAGAAGGACAGAGACGAGGACTGAAAACAAAAGAAGAGAGACAGGGACCGTGAACACAAGAACTGACAACAAGCGAACAGAGACGTCGACCAATAACAGAAGAACAGAGACAGGGACCGATAACAGTAAAACTGACAACAAGCGAACGAAGACGATGACCGATAACAGAAGAACTGACAACAAACGAACAGAGACAAGGAAGAACAGAGACAGGGGCCGATAACAGCAGAACTGACAACAAGCGAACAGATACGAGGACCAATAACAGAAGAACTGAGACAAGGACCGATAATAGAAGAACTGACATCAATCCTCTCTCCGTTGTCTTGTTAACAGAAAAATAGAGACGAGAACCAATAACAGAAGAATTGACAACAAGAAAACGGAAACCAGGACTGATTACAGAAGAATATAGTCGGGAACCGATGACATATGAACGGAGAAGAACGAAGACGAGAACCGATAACAGGAGAACAAAGACGTGAACCGATAACAGAACATCTGACAACAAAAGAACTAAGACCAGGACCGATAACAGAAGAACGAAGACGACGACCGATAACAAAAAACGAGCATCAAAACCCAAGAGTACTCAGAGAAAGGTGCCTTTAATTAATGTATATTTTGCATGCACATGTTTAACCTCCTCACACATACGCAGTAGGAATCTGAGTAGTCACGTTATATGCTTGCATAGAGTGCCAGATAAAATACATGAAAGCTCTATATCTAGCAGATAGGGCAGGGAAGAGTGAATGTTCGCTGCGTAAACCCTAAATACAGGTCTCTTATGTTTAAATGCCATAAAAAATTCAGTACTATCTTTAATATTACTTCTATATTAGTATTATATTGGCCTATAGAAAAATGTCCACCATCTTGGATTATTCGGCCATATTGGATTGTTTTGTTTTTTTAATTCTGTTTTGGTGTCTAATTTGTTTTACCTAAACATGCTTTGTATCAAATTTCAGGTTTTTCCTTTCCTTAAAAGTTTTATTTGATATATCATCCATTTGATATATCATCCATTTCATGTTAAAGAAATTTGGCGCCCATTTTAGTGGTCATTTCAAATGGCCATTTCAATAGTCAAGATCAAGTTTTTCAATTTGGTATCCACTTTTACCGGATTCAGCATACCTTAAATAGGTTAAATACACCAAAATACCACTTGTACTACAAAATGCCTCTAGCAAGTTATAGGGAGCCAAATTCTCAAAGTCAGTCCTGTCTAAAAGAAAATATCCCGTTGTGTCTGACTATTGCAAGTCTATAACGTGCGAATATGCACCTTGCACCTGTTCCCGACACTGAAGAACGGGTTGATGTGGACGAGCTGTTTTACGCGGTGCAAGTTGCAATTTCGGGTTCCTACTTTAACAATTTCCTGACATGGGCCTACCGTTGTAAAAAGTGCGTTTCCTTCCACGGGGAATATTTTAAGGATTAGACCTGTGCGCACGTGTTTTACATGCGTTGAACGTGACGTCGTTACGGCGTTGGTCCGGTTTAACTGGAATTAATTACCTTAGAAAAATACATGTAATTTTGTAATTAAATTTTATCTGATTTAATTCAAATTTTGTTTATACATTAACTCTATGTTTATTTACAACACGCAAAGAGAACGCGAATTTTCCACGAGTATTAAAAATTTGACAGCACTTTTCCGCATATTAATTGAACACCCCTCCTACAAATTTTATTTTAATGTATATAACGACGTTTTCCTTTATTACACTGTTCTAGTCACACTTTAAATATATTTGTATGTTTACAAGTACATGTATACAATTAATTGTCTCCCCTTATCCGTTTAACAGGTTAACTATTTAGTGACGTCATACAGGTGTGACATTAAAAAAGGTTGAGATGTAAACACTGGCGTTGTGCTTAATGTGTGTTTAAAAAAGAAATTCATTTTGAGAGGATTTCATATTTGATTTCTGTAATAATCACAGATGTAAAGGAAAACAAAATCAAGTTCAAGGTATACTTATTTATAGCTTTTTGTTTATACATTTTACGTTTTGTACACATGTTAAATATTCTATATTGATGTTAGCTTGTATCGAGCAGGCCTACATTAAAAACGTTCAATAATAATACAACATATATATGTAGAGTCCCCGATTCAATAATTTCTGAATGATGTACGAACACTACATGTTTTGTCATAAGAAACTACACATTTGTCTTGTTTACATTAAGGATTTTTTCTTTAAATGAAGGTTATAATAACCTTCAATGAAAAGAAAATATCTACACGATAGTATGATAAGTATTAGACATGTTAATATCAAGGTGTACCTAATTAATACAATAAATAGATTATATGTGTTTAAATTCACACAGTTTTGAGCATTGGTTATATTTTTAAACTAAACATGTATATTTTCCTTTCATGTAGGCTACATCTCACTTTATATTAAAGATAATTTTGAATATATACATTGTACAGTAAAGTTATACCCTGGGTGGGAGTATAGCCGGAGTTCCCTTTGATCTGCATTACAAAAAAGTAAATAGTAATGTCAACTTGTATTATAAGTGCAGTGAGCATGTACACAGTACATATACTTATATAATCTCTACTGTATGTTACTTTAAATATGGCATCTAAAATATTTAAGTGGCATATGGCCAAGGTCGAAAATATATCAGAGCAATTAACCATGATGATTAATTAGTAGCTTAAAACTGCTTATAAATGTGTCCTTTGTAATATAAAGTGACTTCCATAAGAGAATGACCCGATTTCACTTACAAAGTTACCTTTTGTTTGAAAAATTGACTCCTTGTGAAAAGTTTGGATTTACATGCTTTTTGTTTTACAACCTACCTATATAATGTGATTTGAACCCCACACCTTAAAATCGCAACATAAATATGCTTAAAGTGGAATATCACGTACAATCTTCGTCCGTCCGTTCGTAACTTTCTTTAAACAAAAGTCACTTAAGTCCTAAAGTTACTGGGTCAATTTCACATAAACTTTATGCTTCCTCGCTGATTCCATTTCTATTTTTATCAAGAATTCCACACAGAAAGTGCATTTAAATTATAAAAACTAAATTTTGCTTGGAAACATGAGCTCAAGTGTATTTTGAATAAGAAAAGGTTCGCATGTTAGTTGCACAGATGTCTTCTTCGAGTTTTTCTAATGTTTTTTATCAAAGCCTAGCCGACAAAATGGCAATTATTTTTCTGAAAACCAGTGTTCCTGGAAAATCAAAGAGAGACTGGGGCTCAAACTTACTTATTGAAGATTTTCCATCGAACAATCACCGGAAGCATCCCGTGAGTGTTATGTGAAGAAGTCTAAATTTCACTATGGCCCCGTGTTCACAAAGTTTTACGGATCAGGATCAAAATTAAAAACTCATAAGTTCTCCCTTTTATATCCTCATAGAATGAATATTCCATATTAACTAGATGAAAGTTGACAAATGCTAATGAAATTCTAAAAAAAAATTATTTTGCATGAAATTGACATTTTAGAGTTGATAAAAAGTGATCCTTCGGACGCATTAAAAACAGTATAATAACCTGAAAATTGCAGACTCGGTTTGATTGAGTGTACATGAGAGATAATTAAGAAGTGCAACAATTAAACATCCCTTACGCCCCCTAGCACCGGCTTGAGCGGCACTCAAAAGTGCTGGACTCAATGATCCCGAAGGACTTGAAAAATATAACAACACTTTTTTACATTTTGTTTATGTACTATTAGATCATTTTTAGTTTTATAAAGCCATGATCATTTGACCATTGTCTAGATATACTAAATGAACACAAGAAGACCTGCCCACGCTTTTACATCAAACATTTCTTTTAAAGAAACTTTAATGCTTCATATTTGTTTCATCTGCAACAACAGTGATTGTCCCTTACCCTTCTGGAAGAGGGAGTTGTTTTTTTACCTTTATCTACAAGTCGGCAAATTATTGCCATCTACATAGGCCATGTGTACAGTTACGTTGGTAATTCGATGTTTGTATTTAGTCTTTGAAACCCTTAATTTTCAAATGAACTGTTCCAAAGTGTAATCAGGGCAAAACTATATTTCACAAATTCAGCAGGTTAAGGGTTAACAAAACTGAAATTATTTGGTGCAACGAAACACAGAGGAGTATTTATATACATAGTTGATATTTAATTTTTTCATATATAAATACAGGATTTGTTTTCGTCGAGTGGTATAAAAATAAATATGCAAGATGAAAATAATCCTGTATTTATAGAAGAAAAAAAACTTGGATTTTCTGTTCATTATAAACAATTTTTTTTACATTACAACTTGAAAAACTACCCCTTCAATTTTGTGTTTCCGCTAAAATTAGAAGACAGTATTCCGGCAAGACACCAGTGAAAATACAGAAAATATGTTTCACTCCTTTAAAAAATATTTTTTTACAGTGAAAATATTGAAAATGAAAATACGCATTTTATTTAACCAATATTTCGTATATAAATTTATAATAATCTAAGTTCTATATTAAGATGATGAATGAAGACATTGCTCAGACAGATGTTCAGGAAGGAATTGAAGCTGACACGAGAAATAACGCCGCTACTATAGAACACACCGAGGTTCATATTGACCTAGCAAAGCACAACAACAATACCCCTGTCATTACAACCGGTAGTACAGATGCACCTGGAGTGAAGGTATCTTTCTTAGTTCATCATTGCATTCAAGTAAAGTACTTAATCAAAGTGTCGGTATGTGTTCTAAGCCTTGATATAAGTATGCGTTGAATAATGTTTATCTGTCATTTTGAATGCATTGCTTGTTATATCATGCAGTCAGTTGACTTTGTTTATTTTGTATGTGGTACTATTTTAGTAAAAACTCTTTACATATGTTATCTAGGGTTAGCGATACAACTATTTTAGATTTTAAATTTGTACATTGTAGATCTATAGGTGAACAGTTGGCTGTTATATAAATCTCAATTTATGTTCAGCAAAATGAATTGATATCTTTTAAAAGTATTATAGCATAAAATCGGCTATTTTTCCCTCTTTTGTCCATGTTAATTATAACGGGGCCAAAACCATGCGTTAACATAGTCACGCGCTCTTGTTAAAAAAGTTGTTATAGCCCGGTTTTACCTATGCGCAATACATACAGGGTCCAGTAAACAAACAAAAAATGACGATTTGGCCTGTTTGCCAGAGTCATGCGCTCTTGTTATATTGGAATAATTAATTCGAGGGCCTCAGTCGCATAACGGCGAGCAGCATTCAAGTAATTATGCCGGCAATACGACGTATAGACATCGCCGCTTATCTTGGTTGTCGCCCTTTCTTAGAAACGGACAGTTGTCAATGTAAACAAATAGAATCTGTCATTCAGTTTAATCCCCCGATTAACTTACAAAAATGGAAAGCACAAAATGAATATAAGAAAACGTTGTTTTATTGACGTTTATATTGATAAATGTTCTGTATGTTTCTTTGAGAGAATAATGTTTTATGCCTGATTTTTTTTTTAAACTTGCGTATTCTGAATTTGAATCTGATGTCACTGATCTTTTTCCTACCGCAATCTGTAATCATTCTAGGAATTTCTGAGGCGTCTGTTTTGTCTTGGGTAGAGTAATGTTATGTTTTTCTTAAGTTAATATATCTCCAAAGTTAAACTTTGTTAAATCAATTAAAATTCGAAATTTCGTTCGGTTCTCAAGTTGTTGGCCCAGGAAAAAATAAAACGCATACAGTACGTAAAACATGTAGAGTTGGATAAATACCGTTCAAGCACAAGGATTTAATGTTTGTGTTTTATATATAATATACATCATGAATCTGTTTTAAAATTTTATGCTATAATAGCGTCAACGCACGTTTATTTCGTGTTATAAAGTCTGCAGAGTCCCTCGAAACTGTTGGAGCCCTCGCCCTACCGGGCTCGGGCACCAACCGTTCCTCGGGACTCTGCAGACGTTATAACACGGAAAAACGTGCGTTAACCCTATAATATTAAGAGACACCACTTACGGTTCTTTTCTTCTTTGTTTGTTTTTTGTTTGTTTGTTTTTTGCATGACGGACCTTGAAATATTTTTTCAGATTTATGAACAATTTAATCTAGGTCTCGACCAATGACTCGTTTACAAAATATATCATTCGCTTACTTCATTTTATTTCCTGAACAATCATTTAAATTGTGCAAAGTAAAATATATAAAAAAAAAAACATTTAATCGCTTTTAACACATAAATTTTCAATTTGATTCTGAGTACATTTTTTTATAATTTGTCGATTTTCCGTTATAAATGAAAGAATTTCATTTGTTATATGCGTTGTACTTTTGAACCTCAGTGGAGCGCCATCAACATAACACTATATCATTGAATATATTGATGAAACACGAAAATAAGTCGGTTCATTTTGGCAGTGTATCATAATTGCCTTTTGTTTACATTCATTACTTTACATTTAATTGTTTAAATTAACCTCACACTGTAATGCCTGATTTTATGTTGGCAGTACACGAGCAATGATACTGGACAGACAACCGTTGTTGTACAGACGAAGCCCGATCCTGCTGATAAGCCAAAAGACTTTGTTGTGACGTCATGTTTTGTGATAATGCTATGCAATTTTTGTTGGGGTGTTGCAGGGTGGCATTATGGTTGTGAGTATTACACAGTTTTGTACTTTATAAAGCTATAGTTAAGTGTTCACTTATTAGAGCCCTGTGTCGTCAATTGTAGGCTATACATATAAGTTCACGACACATATTCGTTTGTGCAATTTTAGGCAGTTTTAATCAGGCATATGAAACATGGAACTGTTGTCTTGTTGGGTTCAAACGTAATAATTTAAGCTCGATTGCGAAACAAGTTCTTGCAACTTATATAAAATCACTTTCGAGTCCGCTTCCTGGAACTAACCAGTAGTGTCATATGAAAAAACGTGGTCGTGACCCGGTAAGGGCTCGAATCCATGACCCCTGGGTTGAGAGACAGATACATTAACCATTAGGCCACCGCTCCCCTTGTAGGAAAAAGATGTGTTAGTTAACTATTTCACGTCATTCGTATAAAAATATTTAAGTATACATGTCTGTTTATGAAACATCAATTTGTTTCTCATTTAAATATTGTAAAGAACGAACGAACGAATGAATGAATGTTATCTATTTCAGTGAAGGCAAATTATGCTTGGCAGCTAGGTGACGAAGTGGAGTGCAGGAAACAAGCGAAAAGGGCGAAAATATTTGTGATATGTGGCGTTATAACCGGAATTTTAACATGGGTGCTTGCACTAACATTGTTCTTCACACTTTCTCCCCTCCGGCCTGGGGCATAGCACACACACACGACTACTTTAATTTATATCATAGCCAACTGTTCAATGTTATTGTTTAAGGTTAACCAACATTAAGATATGAAATAATAAGGTGTGAAATGTGTTTCATGAAATGAGTCGCGCCATGAAAACCAACAAAGTGCGTTTGCGACCATCATGGATCCAGACCAGCCTGCGCATCCGTGCAGTCTGATCAGGATCCATGCTGTTCGCTATCAATTTCTGTACTTGTAAAAGGGTCGGTAAGCGAACAGCATGGATCCTGACCAGACTGTGCGGATGCGCAGCCTGGTCTGGATCCATGCTGGTCGCAAACGCACTATGTTGGTTTTGTCATGGCGCGGCTCAAATGTTAACGGGTAATATAAGTCAGCTTGCTATACCTCAAGATTTCTGCTGCTTCAGAAGGTGCTGGCAAGTTCATGTAATTAACAAATGGTCTCAATGTAATGTGGACTCTACTCGGAGAAAACATTTAATTATGTGTCGACTTTTGTTCTGACATCTGCATTTGTCTGCGTTTTATTTTAGAACGATTTTTTTTTTTTTGGGGGGGGGGGGGGGGTGATTTTTAAAAGCTCAATCTCTATATCCTATGTAACGTTTTTAAACTTGCACTTTACACATTTTTTAATCACTTGTAAATAAAAATAAAAAAAAACAATCGCGTCATTCAGCTACAGTCGGCGGCTGTGCTCCCTCCTTTAAGCTGTTTTTAAAAATCGTTTAAAGTTCTCATTTATAGCGTCTAACGAGTTTGAGAGAACATTTTCAATTATAGATATTGACAATAGACTGATCATTCCATAATAATTGCTTAATTTTCTTAAAAAAAAAACAAACATATTTTCCTTGAGTATATTAGTCATGTTTTATTGATCATGTTTTATTGTTTGTACAAAAATACTCATAATATGTAAATATGCATTTTGTGTCATATTCAGGCAAAAATTACTTTTTATTGTAAATTGATTTTAGCGCTCATCAGATCTCAAGGAATACAGTCAAAACAGTTGTTTCGGATATCAATCTTTATCTTGCTGAACATCTTCTATAACCAGTTTTTTAACAAATGTGCATTATCAATTTTGGGATATCTAGAAGAATATTCAAAGTTAAGTCAGCAAATGCATAGAGAGTCTGGTCAAAACTGGCCGGACAAGCTCTGTACTGGTTTTAGCAGGGTAAATATTAGCGCAGTTATTCTGAAATGTCTTCAACAGACAAAAACTTGTTCTAGCAATGAGTGTTTATTATACTTAAAGGCACATTATGCCTCAGAAATCCGTAATTTTTAATTCTTTAGAAATGTCAAACATTTGTTTAATAATGTTTTAATGATAGATTTATAGCAAACCAGATGTTTAACAACTGAAGAAAGTAGCGATAAACATGCAGTAATGTTTCATAAAGGTAGTAAAAATGTAAACAAAGTAGTATTTTGACTTCCATACAAAATACTGATTCCCTTTGATTGCCAACTGGGCCAAAAAAAAATTAAAAGATAGTTCATGTATATGGCCAAAAATGTATTTTAGGAAATTGTAACAATTAAGATACCAAAAATAAAAAAGTTTTTGAGAAATAAAAACGATATCATTTTTGAGGCATAATGGTCCTTTAAGTATGATGAACATGTTTTGAGTCATTATGGAAATATTGATCTGATTAATGTTTTTGTTGTTGTTGTTGTTTTTCTGGCAGCACTTTTCAGCATTGTACATATACATTTATATATGTATATATATGTAGTTTTATACGGTATTTATTTAGAAAACCTAGACTTTTTTAAGCAAATCATTGCGCGCTTCAGGCCTCTCCCTCGTGGATTCAATACATCCGGGACTAAAGTGATTATCTTTTCGTCTGCCCAGAGTCACTGTTGATCTAGATACTCATTGACCTTTATAATGGATGCAGTTTGACTTCAGGCATTAACGAACAATATTTACAATGGTTTTATTTAATTTAATATGATTATTTTTGTACAAGTCAGCTGTAGTAAACATCTGCATACATATACAATGACAACATTTGATGTAAGCTGAGACATAAGATAATTTTCTTATGTCCCAGTTGTAAGCTATTTTTCGACAAACATACCGTCATGTGAAAAAACCTTGGTGACCCTTTAAAAGCAGGGGGTTTTTTTGTGACAGAATTATGCCCCTTTTCGACTTAGAATTTATGTTAAAGTTTTTGAAATACCTCAAATATTTTCAAAGTAGATTGAAACTTTGCACACTTGTTCACCAACATGACCCCAACCTTTAGACAGGGGGAAGTAACTGTATCAAGCATTTTGACAGAATTATGCCCCTTTTTTGACTAAGAATTTATGTTAAAGTTTTTGTAATACCTCAAATATTTTCAAAGTCCATTGACATATGGCTTTGAAACTTTGCACCATGACCCCAACCTTTAGGCAGGTTTGAAACAAGTTGAAATTTTATACTCTTTGAGAGCATAATACGACTCTCTCCAAGCACTAAGAATAGTCGAGCGTTGCTGTCCTACCAACAGCTCTTGTTAAAACTGGCTACAAGAGTGCGGACGTTCGTTCAAACAATTCAACCAAGGCCAAAAGCAGTAACATTTTTGCCTTTTGGATTTTTTGTTGAAGTTTTTAATTTTAATTATGTGATTTTCATTTACACAATATATTTAGAATAGTCAATCAAATCGAGCCTGCAACATTTTCAATTTTGTCTTGCTAGGCTTTCTTTAAGGATTCTTTTTTTCTCTTTATTTAACAAATAAATGTTATAAACACAAAATTGAAAGGTGTGTCTCATACTTGAGTGTGTGTCTTATAATTAGTTCCACAATTCTTGCTGTTTGTATCGTTGTCTCAATGATATCCGACCCTTGCCGCTGTTGTAGATCTTCCTTTTGCCAGATCTTTTACTGTTTTAACACGTGTGCTACTTACTACAACTATATATATTGTCTATTTTACAACGTTTTTAAAAAATCATAGAAAATGGCGGTAACCAATAGTTAGGGACCTCTCTATTTTTAATACATGCTTGTATTATACATACTATATTTTTTAACTTATTTATTGTTAAGTGTATGAATCTATATTTTATTATCATATTTACGCAAACAGATTCTGATACAAATAAATGTTTAAAAAAGTGTACTTATCATGGTATCATACATTATATTTGTAATAAAACATTGCTAGAGAGTTATTGTCATTTATTTCTATCAGGAATATTTATGCTGATTGCATGCCCCACTTTATGATGCGATCCGAACGTACCTTACTTCCCTTGTACGACCAATAGCTAATGAATTTTTCTATATAAACAAAGAAGGCCCGACAACAATGCACTCGCCGTTCTTATTATCTCCCTGTGTATTTTCACATTGAGGGCGCCATTTTGTTTGAAAAATGTGATAAATAAAAACATTTTTGTCGAATTTTGTTGTGAAAACTATCTAGAATGAAAGAAAATGGTCTAACTAAGAAAATGAATCCGAACACCAATATCTTTAATTCAGTCGTTAACGCTGTACGTTTAAAGTGTTGTTTACGTGACGTCACAATGTAGCGCCAAAGAGCACGTGCCAAACAATCAAATCATGTACGCTATTTTAATGACGCAAACTAGTTAAGTTTTACATCTATTCCACTTTTAATAATTTGTATTTCGCTTGAAAAATTATAGAATGAAATAAAATAAACATACAAAGTTTTATCAACGTTTTCAAAATTCGTTATTCTGAAAATGTTTCTACACACGGTAGTTTTAACGACAGTTTTTTTTTCAACCAACTGGAACAGCCTTTAAAGAACGTTTCTATTGAAAACTCTGAGGCGAAAACAAATTTAACCACCAAACATAAAGTCTTTATAATAATAATTATATTTTTTCTTGACGTGTTAGAATGGAAATAGATATTAATTCTTCGTGCATTATTGTATTATAATGCACGTTTTTCGTTCAAATGCTTTGTAATTATTATATTACTACGCATTTGAACTCAAACCGTGCATTATTCTACAACAATGCACTCAGAATTGATATCTATATCCTAAGTAACTTAGAAGGAACATTGTCAATGGCCATTAGACGGCCCTTATTTTGAGATCATTTAGTCACCATGGACTTGATCATAAAAATTATGTCTGACAAATAACTCGAAGATCTTTTTTACTAGCAGTTCTTAGAGTTGGTGTTGCGGCTTTAAAAAAAAACTTGGTAGCGCTTTCGACTACAGCCGTAAGATTTGGTGTGTTGGTTAGTCTTGTAAGTTGACCCCTATTTATTATGAAGTCAGTAGGTCAAAGGTAAAGGTCACATAAGCATGGACCACTTAAGGCCGAGTGGTTAAGGTCGCTGACTTCAAACCACTTGCCCCTCACATCTGTGGGTTCGAATTCCGACAGGGACTTTGGATTCTTTCAGGTGAGGAAGCTATCAAGCTAGCTTACGGAACGTCGGTGGTTCTACTCAGGTGTTCGTTCGCACGGAAGGCACCTGAGGTCTTCCTCCAGCAATTAAGCTAGAACGTGGCATGTGTTGATGTGACGTAAAACCCAATGAAACGAACTTAAAGCTTACTAGAGAATACTTTGTCGATAAAAAATACTAAGATTAAGTGTAGAGGTTGCTTATGACTAAAAGATAACGCGTCTCCTATTTATGTTTGAGATCAGAGATCAATGTTGGGGTGGCATCGGCCACTAAAACCTTCTCCAACCTATAACTAGAGGACACTTTGGCCTAAAATCCTAAAGTATACTTTGCAGGTTGGTAATGGCAAAATGATCGCTCCTATTATTTTTATTATATTACTTAAAAATCGTACATGATATTATGCTTTCTAAGACACAGTTTCCATGGTGACAATGTAGTATTGTTTAGTTTTGATAAGATATGTATAATGCGGGTCGCGTCCCTGAATATTCTAGTTTTAAAATTTTGAAATTGTAATTGAAAAAAAAATATCACAGTGTTCTGACTATGATATAAATAAAATTGAACAATTAATAGTCACACTTTTAAACCTTTAAAAACTTTTATTGCATGTGAGTGTTGTTCTTGTTAATAATAATGATGATAATGTTGATGATGATGATGATGATGATGATGATGATGATGATGATGACGTAAAATTAAAGTCAACAAGAAATGATCAAAACTTAATGGAACTTTTTTAAAGTGTATTTGCAGTCTAAACTGATAATTTTTCAAGAAATTATGGTCTGCATATTGAAATGACCGTACTCTTGCGAATTTTACAATATTTTCCCCTCACTCCTTATCATTTCCTTAACATAGTGCGAACTACATGTATAATGATCCGACTGGTAGCAATGTTTTATAAAAAGATAATAACATTATGTAATATAGAACTTTGTACTTTTCCTGTATATTTTTCAATATATAGTAAATTCTCTCTATTAAGACCACTAACGGGACTGACTCAAAATGGTCTTAATAATGAACATGTATATAAAGGTTTTAAAAAGAAACCTATAAAACCTTAGGAGACTTTTCTATTCTAAAACAATGGTATTTGGAATAACATAAACCTGGTTGATGTGGGGCCGATTTCTTTCTTCTGTTGGCTGACATCGCACCGCTATTGCCCGATGTCGGCAAGAAATATCGGACGTATATCGTTAAGATATCGGCCCGATATTGTGCTACCGATGTCGTGCCAACATCATTCCTATTTGCAGCCGAGTTTAAATCCGACATTGGACCATGTAGGTTTGATGTCGGGCCGGTATAGAATGTTGGCTGGGATGTACTAACATTCTAATACGCAAAACTGACTGATTAAGTGGAAGAAAAGATGTTGCATTATTTAGAATGAAATGTGCTGAGAAAAAATCACTTAATTTTTTTAGAAATGTATATTAAAGTCCTATTTTTTATCATTTTTTCACAAATAGAGAAGTATGTGGACATGCATAGAGAATAACGATGTGTTCAATAAATTCAGAAATAAACCTACACAACTACATTAATATTCTAATCATCCGACACCAAAATAAGACCTACTTATATAAACGTTATTGGCGCGTTAATATTAAAGGGACTCCACTGTGATTTGATTGATTAATGTTACATTTGATGTAGGTCTAGACCTTATTTTATGTTTTTCTGGACCTCAGTGGAGTTCCTTTTACATTGGTAATATATGCATGTATGTAGAAAGTAAGCAGTATATATTGCAATACATCCCAATACCGCATGGTATTATAGGTTCGAAAACAGTAAGTTGTATCATACTTTAGGGACCTTTCTGTTGAAAAAGTGTCAGAGTTAAATCGTATACATATACATGCACAGTGCGGTAACTGGAGTGCAGGTATCAGTTACCCGCACTCCAGATAATGCCCGTTGATTGGTTCATTTTTGCTGGGGTTTACATATTGTGACGGCAGAGAAAGGGAAAGGGGCAGAAATATCATATTCAAATGCTCGTTCATTGGTTAATTTTTTCCGGGGTTTCATATTATGACAACAGGGAACGTGCTGTCATATTTGACTATGATACAAAAGAGAAAGAACACCAAAACACTCGGCAATCTGATTTATACTCGGGGGCTACTTCCCCTCGTACAAATCAGATAGCCTCGTGCTTCGGTGCTCTTTCTATTACTTAGTCATTGTTTTAATGATTTTAATCAATAATTCAGTTGCTTTATCGCAAATAATCCGGCAACGTGCGGCTCCATAATGTACACGTACACATAAGCTCAACCATTATGTTCTGCAGCGCTCTGTCGGCGACTAGATGCACTCATTTCTCTGAACATTGGCTTGTTGGAAAACTTAAGTTTCTTTTTATGGAAACAACACGCTTGAAGTTCGACCCAGAAACACGGTCAGTAGAGGCCCGACTCTCACATGAACTGCAACTGCTCACTGTGATTTACTCAGGGCGCTGATAAGTTAGAGTATGTCAAGGTCATGAGGGGAGGCGTGCAAAATAAAACCTTAATGGATTTCTACAATCTGATTTAAATCAGCTTCTAATTAACGCTACATGCAAGAAGTAACTTAAGTAGGTCCGAACTTTAGTCAGATTGGGATTATTGAGTCTCTCTTCTACTACAAAATAAGGTCCGGAGAGTCTCGCACGAGAAAGGCCACAAAACATTCGACTTTTTCTTTATAACGTGCATGTACTTGCAAATGCTCGTACATTTTTACTTTCACATTTTTACTTTTGTACCAAACCGAATCAAAATATTCTGCAGCGCGTGCACCGATAACCTTCACAAGAACATGTTGGGGAGCCTCCCTTTTACGGTAATATAAGGCACATTGCACTGGCCAAAGGTTTTACACTGACAGCATTTTTATAAACATATATTTTTAATGTTCGAAAACAATGAAGAAGAACAATTGGACTGAATATTTTATTTTTATCTCAAATACTTTACAAACATTTAACATTTATTGCACATGAAAAAAAACATTAATAGATTATGTCTCTGCCTAACACTATATTTTTTTTCACAGAACTATAAGCACACCAAAGATTAAACCTTTAAGATAAAAACATTTTTAACTTTAATATAAAGAAGCTATGAGCTGGTTGCAGCTTGAAGCATGTTCTGTAAAGATCACGTATCAATCAAGAAATAATGGAAGTACATGTATAAATTTACTATACAGGTGATTACACTGCCACAAAATAAGATTCTACAATTATACACTGGTACACTATTAAGATTCAAATATCTAAGCCTAAATTGGCAAGATACACAATGGGGAATAAAAGTCTTGGAAAAAACTCACTTATTAAAACCACTATGACCATTTTTTAGTTTCACAACTCACTTGTTATGAAAGGATGACCGAGATTTGAAAGAACAATAGAGCAAAGAGTTGAGATATGATGTACTTTTTTGTCACAAAATTCCCAGAGACATGATGTACACTCTGTGTACTGGGGATATGATGTACATTCTGTGTACTTGGGGGATATGATGTACATTCTGTGTAACCAGAAATAATTATGATGAACGTGAGATATGATAAATGTTACAGGAAGCTAATTATAAATATAAAATTATCAGAAAAATCAGATATTTTTGTCAACCTATAACCTGCTGAAACCAAAAGTGATCTCTTTTTATCACCAGTATAGGGCCAGGCCAGCCTGCACATCTGTGCAATCAGACTAGGCTCTACATGTATACATTGTTAGTAGTCCAAAATTTGTATTCCCACATTGAAATTCCTAAAACTTTAAATGGACTGTTCCAAATTCAAGACTGGGTAAAACCCATTACATAAATTCAGCCGGCTAAGGTTAAAATTTTGCAGAGTTTAAAATATATAATGTATATGTAAAGTCCATTGAATAAATAATGCGTTTACAATGAAAGGGGTCAATGTCCATAGCAAAATGTTCACTTTCAATGTAGATTTTAAACTTACAATATTTGAGTTCAATGTCTGCAGTCAATATCATGTGATGTTTATATTATTAGTTATAAAGATTTTTGACATGTTATATTGCCTTTATAAATGGCTGTTTGGAAATATAACCCAAGCCGCTAGGCGAGGGTTTCGTTGCAAACAATTGTTTATATACGGTCATATAATCTGTAAGGAATATTTATAACAAATCTATAATACAGCAAACTTCCTTTTTTTGAGGAAAAGTGAGATTTCTTGGAAAATTGACAGCAGTCGTATATATAAAACTATATAAACGTCACGATTATCCAATGGAAAGTGACTTTACATCAAGATTATCCTATGGAAAGTGACTTTACAGGCCTTTTAGTCCCTGTTTATAAACTTTTCAAGGACTTAATTTATAAAATAAACTTCTAGTTCCTTTGACCTATTAATTGATGAGACCAAATGGCCATTCTTGAGAAATTTTGCCTAAATCAATCAAGTTGTAATATGTCGGCTACAGAAAGACACATGAAAACACACATCTAAGCATTAAACATGTAATAACAAAATCATTTTCGTTTACTTTATGCTCTGGTGATAATTCCTAGGAGTTACTAGTAATAGAGTTACATTAACAAGTTTTTTCAACCAAGAATCAGGATATTGGCTCTTTGTGTACTTTGTAATACATTTTAATATGTTTTTACAGGTTCCCATTTAATCTAATCTTGGTTTTATTTTTGTGTATTTGTTGCAACAGCAACAAAATAATGAATATTTATATTATTTTCAAACCTCTGTAACAAATCAGGAAGAAAATAATCATTTTTTTTTAGGTTTCCAAGGATTTCACAGGGAAACAGATCGACTGAGAAAGGTCAAACTGTTTAGGCACTTAATCCATAAGAAACTAAAAACTAGAGTTAAAATATTAGCTTACAAACCTTAGTTTCACATATTTATGTTCTTAGTTGTAAGGAAATAGAATGACCACACATGAACTAAGCAGCTGGAATTTGAATAACAATAAATAAAACAGATATACAAGTATGTAGAATTCTTAAACAATAGACACTTATAATTTCATCTGACCTCTAGAATGAGCACTTCATCCACTTAATGTCCTTAATACATGTACAAGTATATCCTAACATTGTTTGGAAAAAGGAAAACCATCAAAGAAATTAATTCTGTCAAGTACTATGTTCAGATATTTGAGCAAGGGAAAGGTTTTTGTTGTCATGGTTACAATATATGCACTAATTTCAACGCTTAACCTGCCGAATTTCTTAAATGGCCTTGTCCAGTTTCTATATTTCTGAAACTGTCCATTATCATGTTTAGGGTAATCAAGATGAAAATTTTGAAATTAGTCACCAAACAATTTAGAGGCTAGTCATATATATCTCTCATAGTGAAGTCTTATTAGGCTCTATATTGTATAGATGGTGGTAAAATGGCTAATCACTTCAAGTTCTAGCAGGTTAAGAGTTAAATGAGCCATGTCATGACAAAACCAACATAGTGGGTTTGCGACCAGCATGGATCCAGACCAGCCTGCGCATCCGCACAGTCTGATCAGAATCCATGCTATTCGCTATCAGTTTCTCTACTTGTAATAGGGTTTGCAAGCGAACAGCATGGATCCTGATCAGACTGCTCGGATCGCAGGCTGGTCTGGATTCATGCTGGTCGCAAACGCACTATGTTGGTTTTGTCATGACACTGCTCAAATATAGATGAGCAAATTACAAGATAAATAGACCAATAGTGTAAACAGATAATGACAGTCACCATTATGTATAATCTAGTTGTACATATAATGTTGTTGTACAATGTGTATGTGTTGTTATGTGTTAGTCAAGACAGTCTTGCAGAAGGATGTACAGTTAATTCATCACATAAACTAATGCATAAAACGTAATAAAATCAAATGTAATAACTTTGAAAAGAAACATAGCGTAAAAGCACACTAATTTTTGCAAAACACTATATAGGCACATGAATGGAATGGAAACATGATTCTTTTTTTACTGTAACTTGTTCTTATTACTTTAATGTAACAATGTAATAAAAATAAAATAAAATAGAATATTATATTCATGTAGTTTCTATACTGACTGAATTTATTGAACTTGTTGAGAAAAACATGAATATTAGGCTCACCAGAGGCACGCACAATACAACTGTAACAGTAATTAGTGGCCAAGTCGGACCAGTAATCTAATGATTATAATAGGTTTAAACCCCTTCAGGGGCAAGTGGTTGTTTCCTTGAGCAAGAAACTTTCCATTCATTGCTCAGTACTGGTTGGTTCCAGGAACGGATTCGAAAGTGTGTCTATAAGTATTCAGCTTCCTAAACAATCAAAATAAATTCTGTATTAATCAAAAATTTAATCAACTTGTTCAATAATGTAAGTATTGAACCTACACTCATTCAATATCCTCTATATATATCTTATTATTGTTAAACTTGTAGATGTATATATACATATAATAAACATTGATTACAGCACTTAAAGCAACATTCATCAAACATCTATCAAACAAAAGTTTCAATATAAGTTACAAACTAGAAATAAACACGCCATGCTGCCTTCAGCAAGATATTCTTTATGTAATTCATTAACCCTTCACCTGCTGAATTTGTGTAATAAGAGTTTCCCGATTTTAAAATTTGTAACAGTCCATTCAAAGTTTAACAGATTTCAAAACCGAAACACTAAAAATGAAGCTACAAACAGTATAGAGCCTAGTCAGAGTGCATACATGAGCAGCCTGGTCCAGCTCTATACTGGCCATGAGGTTACTGGTTATAAAACTTTTGAGTTCTGTCTCAAATCTCAGGATTTTCATTGGTCAGTGAACATTTTGTGGAAGCTTCTGACCAATCAAATACCCCAGATCTGAGTTTGAGCATAGAGAAATGCTTTATAACCTCGGACCCTGGTGTCAAAGGTTTATCACTTAATGTTTCCGGTTAAGATCAGCTGATATAATTTTTACATGTTGAAAGCTTGAAATTTTTATATAATTTTCTTTATACAATAGTTTCATTTTGACAGAACTATAAAATAATTTCATTTTGACAGAAATGAAAATTATAAAATAAGGCACCGGTAGACAGATTTCTCAGCAGATCCAATGAGTGTCTGACATAACAGAATTAAAACATGTAAAAGTACCTACATATTGTTGGCACTATGCCAATATACTATAGTTACAATATTGGCATCGTAAGAATAGCAACAATGGTGAAATTATAACAATCAAATGCTTTCCGAACACAAAATGTAAAAAATGCTGTTATATAAAAAGTAGGTATAAAAATAATAATTTATAACAGGTAGGATTTAAAAGGAATGTTTAAGAAATTTCAAATATGGTCCAAGTTAAATATACATGAGCTTATAAACAGATAAATACCTTTACATAAGTCAGAGAGGTAGTATGACAAGATGAAAAGGCACAAAAATATTCAACATTTCCTTAAAAATACTATTCCACACAAAGCGGTTCGAAAATATTTGAAAAATAAAAGAGAATCCTCAAATATATTGTTCCAAGAAATTCCAGCTCATTAAAGGTACAACACTTTTTGAAACAGTTGAAACGATATATTTTTCTGTGGGTTAGTACCTTTAATCTACTTAGTATGAAATACATAGAGGATATTTGTTTGTTTGTGTGTAAAATGAAATTTGATTTCATCAAATGAGCTTTAAAAACAGTATTCTCACGAGTAGCGTAGTGAAATTATTTTTTGATAATTTTCACTGTGAAATTATCAAATAAAATTTTCACGGATAAATCAGTAATCCACTGAAAAGCATAAAATAAAAAAATATACCTAACAATAAACAAAATTGGCAGACAACTCTTAAAAACGTAAAACATGGCTAAAATCTTTATGTTAATATATGTTTAAAAAAATCCCTAATACCTTTTTTTTCTAGATATTTGTGAAAATATGTTAATGTGTATATGAGTTTAAAAACCTTATATGAAAACAATAAAGGTTAAACCAGTCATAGTTAAATGACTGCCTCAAGATCTGGGTAAGAGATTTGTTTAACCTTCAACCTCCTGAATTGATGTAATGGATTTGGCCGGCTTTGAATATGGAACAATCCATTTGAAGTTAAAGGGATTTCAGTATTGAACTGCTTACAGTATATAGTTATTTTAAGCAGGTTGAGGGTTCATAATGAAATAATAAAAGCTCTAAAATTACACAAATAATTTTTCAATTACATTTCATTACATTACAGTTATGACATTCCTGTAAACTCCTCAACAACTGTTTATGTTTCCATGTAATTTCTTAAACAACTGTTTATGTTTCCATGTAAACTTTTCAATAACTGTTTATGTTTCCATGTAAACTCTTAAACTTTCATTTACGTTTCCAAGTAAAGTCTTCAATAACTGTTTATGTTTCCATGTTAGCTCTCTAATAACTGTTTATGTAAACTCTCCAACAACAGTTTACAATCTTGATTACAACACTGAATATAGAAATTGTCTTGTTTACAAAAGGCTTGACAAGACCTTTCCTTATATGTAGTTAAATCAATGTTTTTAAATTGCAGTGATTGATTAAATATCTGTTTCCACTTTACTTGATGTAGACACTACAGGTTTATGTGATGGAGATTTATGTGTGGGAGAATTATGTGTGGGAGATTTGTATGCTGGAGATTTGTGTGTTGGAGATTTGTGTGTTGGAGATTTGTGTGTAGGTGAGGAAGCATTTTGTTTAGACACAGGTTTCACATTATCCTGTGCTGGCACATTGTTTGCAGGCACATTAGTTATGACAGGCGAGCTTGTATCTGTAGAGTGATGATCAGTTAGTTCATGGGCCTGTAGAGAAGTTGAACGTGGTGGTGGATTAGGAAAAACATCAACATAGTCAGGCTTTCTCTGAACATCTGCTGGTCTTAAATATTCATCATCATTTATTGTTTTCGGTGGTTCTGGGGCATCCCCTAACTTAGACAACACATATGTTTCGTCTTTCGATTCACTTCTCTCAACATTTTTTGTTTCATTTTGTCCGTTATTTGCATCAATATCTATAGCAACTTCATAAGGACTAGATGATTCTCTCCCTGAAGGAGTATGGCTTAACTTTGTTGGTGACTTACCACTTGAAGTATTTGTGACTTCTGATTTAGAAGATGAATCTTTAACGGGTGATCCCTTTTTGGGTGAACCCGCTGATCTATTTACTGATTGTTTGCTTTTTATACTTCCTTTAACATCTGACTGCGTCTTGGATTCCTTTTCATGAGGTTCAAGTATAAAATAATCATGATTTTTTGGAGTTTCTGTTATTTCAGATTCCTCCACAATTGTATCTATACCACCATGTAACCCATTTTCTTTAATAGTGTCTGGATTGACTAAATTTGATTCAGTCGTATGATCACTATCTGTTTTGTTATCTGTATCATTGTTCACCTCTAATGGTGTTTTTTCTAAAGTAAAGTAATCATGAGGGGACGAAGGATTTGTCCCACTGTCTCTTATACTACCTGACTGAGTTTTACTCAAAGTTAGATGATCGTAAGGCCCTGAAGGAGCACGACCTTCAGTTTCTCTAAGCAACGGGTTATAAACATTTCCTCGTGCATCAACCGATGAAGAGGAATCTCGCGGTGAAACATCTGTACGAGAATCTCCGTCTAGAAGTGGACGTCTGGAGGCTGTTGATTCAAACCGATTTACACGTTTTGTTTTCTTGCCATTTGCTATATTTCTCAGTGGCGGTTCTGGGGGAACGTCTCCGAAAGAAGCCTGTTGATTTGTCCGGTTATAAAACACAGACTGATTGTCAGTTTCTACGTTAAAAAATCTATAAATACGTGTTGACAAGGCACGGAAACTTGACACTCCACCTCGTCGTTTTTTCCTTTTTTTACTTGTTGGTAAGGGTACATCTCTGGAACTTCCTGAAGCGCCACCTGGACTTGGTGCTCTGGCAGCCTACAAAATAAAGTATATATCAACTTTAATGATAGTCTTTAATTTTCGTCATATGTAGGGGAAATAAATGACTTATTTATGATAAAAAACTACATACAACCAGGGTTTGAAAATTACACTCGTCCGCTCATATTTACAAGTAGACATTGATGCAGGACGAGTACATAATCCTTGTATGCTCATACGTAGGACGAGTGAAAATTTGCAAATGTAATAAAAAGCTAGAATTCTTAAAATCAGTTTGTTTACATTTAACAATGGAAAACCGGAAACAAAGCTTGTGTTTTAGGTTATGTATAATTTGCACACTTTATAAAGCTCTGAACGCATTATTACATGGATACGGTGTGACTGGAATGTGTCTGACAATGCCCTATAAAGTGCGCTATTTATACATAACCTAAAACACAAGCTTTGTTTCCGGTTTTGGTTTGTTAAAATTAATGTGAAGAAATTGATTATGAGAATTTTTAGCGGTCTTGTGCATCGGTGAGGTCCTATTACATAGGCAAAGTTTATCTTAAAAATCGAGGCAGAAATACAGGAAAAGTAGCAAAGCATGCAGGACGAGTAGAAATTTGAAGCCACTCGTTCTGCGGAGTGGCTCTGAAAAGAATTTTCGATCCCTGAAAACAAACCATGATTAAACCTTTGGAAGGAAACAAAAGCGTAAACTTTAATACAGAATAACTAAGTTCACATTCATTTCACATCTTTTGTTTCATCAGTAACATGCAAAAAAAAATATTTTCTAACCTTTGAGAATAAATGACATTATCTGATTTATTGCCTGGCTAACCAGCTTATTAGTGAACCATTATTCTGGTGGGTTTGTGAGAAAATTGTTTTGCATGGATTTTAATATGGGGCAGTTCATTTGAATTGAATTTTATAAAAAAAATACAAACAGCTAACAGTATACAAGTAGAAGCTCATCAGATGGCACACATACACATTCTTACATATCAAACAGGATTATCTACTGTTTACACCAGTGCTAAAAATCGGTCTTACACCCCCTATGTAAGACAAGTCACCTGTTTTAAATTATGTTATTCCCTTGCCCCTTTTATGAATGAATTGCGTCCTTAGAATAACATCATTTTGCCGTTATGAATGAATTTGTAAATTCATACACTATTATAACGTGCTATTAAAATGAAAATATTAGTTTTCATAATTTTTTTCTGAAATATGGTTAATATGCAAGGAAAAGAATTAAACTCCAGCTGATGTAACAGACGAGAATATCTAGCTCTCAGGTAACTGTTTCGCGTAAACTTAAAAGAGCTTCGTCATCACCGTATGCAGTTACCTTCGAGCAAGATATTCCAGTCTGATCAGGCAGCTGTTGTAAGATATGGGCTGCCCTGGTTCTATACTTGTGGCAAAGGCTTATCACTTTCAGGTTCAGGGTTAGCATGAAATATTTTAATCTTTTATACAATTATTCATTAATCATGCATACTTTAATCAAATCCTATGAACAACTGTATTCATTCTGTCTATGTATCTATATGAAAACTCTTGCAGGAATGTTAAGTATTTAGAGTATATTATATACATGTACATACCTGTAGGGGTTCAATTTCAGCATAAATATGCTCCTCCTTTTCTGCATCATGAAGGGGCCTTCTCACAGTTACTCTGAAATATTCAAACAAAATTTAAATGATTTTCAAACGATTTAGAAATACAAATCAGCTTACCATTTTATCTATGCAAAACTACTCAACTTTAACCCTACTGAAACTAAGTCAGATTAGCCTGTGTAAAAGTATGATAATTCATAGAAATTTTTCTACTAATGATCATTCAAGGTAAGTATAGCTCTAGACACCCCTGGATGCAAATGTAGCCATGGCCATTAGTACAGGACCAGGCCAGCATGTAACAGTACATCCGGGGCAGTACTCTATCTTCATATCCATAAAATTGATTTATGGATGGATTTCAAGAACAGAAACTGGAAACGTCCATTTAAATTTTTTTAGTAATTGAAGGTAATATAAATGGTAGATTATGACAGTTGTAGTTCAAGACACCATCACATAATCTTATAAACAGTTTATAAATGCTCAAGTGTGCTTAGATTGAAACACAAATAAAATATGTGAAATGAAAAGAGAAATACATTATAACAAAATCAAGGCTTGCATGTGAAAGTATAAATTTTATAAATTCTATTTCAGATTCATTTTTGTTTAACAAAAAAAAACCTCTTTTTTACTTAAATAACATATTAATTAGGATATTGAATGACTATGGATTTTATATTAAATTCATTCCATGATTTGAATAAAATCTTATTATGCATGCCTCTGGCCAACATAATATTGTTTAATTCAATGAGTTCAATAAATTCAGTATTAAATCTACACGAATATACATGTAGTATTCTATTTCTAAAATAAGAACAGTTTACAGCTAAAAAGAGTCATTTTTCGTTCTTGTGTCAAGTCAACGTGTTTTTAAACTAGTCTAATATCATTTTTATTACATTTTGTAAATGGCTGTATTACACTCCTACGCCATGTTTTATTTCATACAAAATTTATGAATATATATTATTCATGTTGCATTTAGTATAAACTAAACATGGACATAATTTTAATATTGATAAAATTCGGTCTATAAGTATATGTATATTCTTAAGCGTACCTTTCTTTTCGTTTCGCCCTGGACTTTCTACAACATCGGATAAGGATCACTAATATAATTAGAAAACCTATAAGGGAAGCACATGTGATGCCAACAATTTTGATCAGTTCAGTTGTATCTGCCGAGGTAACTTTACCTGTACTGGGATCTGAAAATAAATGGGTAATATTATGTTTAATGAAAGCTATTTCAACACTTTCGCTAATAGAGACGTGAGAAAGGATTTTTGGAGAGCACAACACAGCTAAAAAGGAAGAACAAGTGCAGCATTTGACTTTATTCCTAGTCTCAACCTTTCTGTACAATTTTAAAAATACAAAACATTTAAGTTTTAAAAGAAAACTTGTAAAGATAAATGTACTTGGGTATGGTGTACACATAATAAAAAGTGCAAATTAGTTGCCACAATGATAAATAATAACACTCTTCTAAATAAAATATAAATGATCACTTGTGACTTCAATCCAAAATAAAACGCTTTTCCTTCTTTCCCTATATAATGTGACTTCAAAAGTCAGACATTTGGCAGTCTCTGACTTGCAAATTCTGGAACTTAATGGAAGCCCTGGACTTCATGTTATTGCTTTTTCAAATCTGTACTAAATAACTGATTATTGATTAACAGAAAAACATCATCAACAATGCCACGATATTGATTCTATCAATGACAGCAGCTCTAGTAAACAATACTTGCAATTGCATCTTTCTGTCAATATATTAATACACAAAAGTAAATGGACTCAAATCATAAATTTTTTGGCATTGTTGCTGACCAACTTTCCATTGGTGCAAATAGTGTATCCAAATAGATGGGACATTTAAATGGCTAAATGGTTAAAATAACGCAGTTAAAGGCACTTTATGGGAAACAGGAAAAAGAAAGTCAGAAATCTTCAAATTCAGCCTACTTATTGTGCAAAAAACTAGGTCAAAGACTTATTCAGGTGTGTAATTACTGAATCAAGTTGCCTCAATGATAACATAGAACTGTTACCTGCGGTTGTCACGACAGCTACTGATGTAAACTCGGAAGGCTGTGTGTATTTGGTTACATTTTTCACCGATGTAGTTATTTCTGGTTTCTTTGTTGTCGTAGTTTTTACAGTTGTTGTCGGCGTAACTCTATTACCATTAGCATCTTCGAATACAACAAGTTTCTGTTTGTATTTCCATTCGTCTGAAATTATAAAAAAATATTTACTTTCATAAAATTTGTAAAAAGGATCTATATATACAGTCAAATATGTGTTAAAGACCACATCAGAATAAAGACACATATATATATATAGGCCACTCTTCTACAAGTACAACCCTTCATTAATTATGTAGAACAAAGTAACCTCCAAATAAAGCCCACTTGTCTATAAAGGCCATGTGTTGTCCCTCCTTATGGAAACCTTTCTTCACAGGTTTGACTGTACCGAATAACAATATAAAAATCTCACTGAATACCAAATTCTGCATTGTCAAATCATCTGTTCCTTCTATTCCCAGATATACCTGCCACTAACTTTTTTTATCAATTATCTGTTCTGCTCTGTTGATCTTACCCAGCTACCATGTGCTATCCACAAATGAGCCGCGTCATGACTCAACCAACATAGTGCGTTTGCGACCAGCATGGATCCAGACCAGCCTGCGCATGCGCAGGCTGGTCTGGATACATGCTGGTGGCAAACACACTATGTTTGTTTTGTCATGACGTGGCTTAAATTATTGAGAACCATCATGGCTCTTGCTGTCTGTCCCATGTATGGTACAGCATTCAGATTTGCTTATCCAGGCTGTCTCAACTTTTCTCTCATAAGATCAATTCTATTTCTGCATAACAAACTTATGAATAAATTAAATTATCCCTGAATTAGTGCAATGGAGTTGCCCTGCAATGGAGTTGCCCTGTATTGTATTTGGAACAGCCCATTCCACAGTTTCAGGGATTTTAAAATAGGATAATCACGCCACCACCAGTATAGAGCCTGGTCAGAATGCATAGAGATGTTCATGCGGACCTGGCTCTATAATTATCTATACTTGTGGCAGGAACTTAAGTTATCACTTACATTTTCAGTAGATTGAGGGCTAACTTTACTTTCCTTAAATTATGTTAAACAAGAGGGCCACGATGGCCCTGAGGTCGCTCACCTGTATATAGGCCCCCCCCCCCCACCCCCCCCCCCCAACGTTGCAGGGTCAATTTTCACCCAAAGGGCTTTTATTTGCACAAACTTGGTAGACACCCATAAGAAGATGTTTCATGCTAAACATCTAAGCTCTAGCTCATTGGGCTTTTTAAAAGAAGATTTTTTTTAAAGTTTTTACTATACACATATAGTTAAAAACAATGACACCCCTGGGGCCGGTTTTGACCCCAGGGCTTTTATTTGAACAAACTTTGTAGACACTCACTAAAAGATGTTTCATGTTTAATATCTTAACTCTAGCTATTTGGGTTTTTTTCAAAGAAGATTTTTTAAGTTTTTGCTTTACACATATACGGAAAATCAATGACCCCCGGGGCGGTGCCAATTTTGACCCCAGGGCTTTTATTTGAACAAACTTGGTAGACACCTATTAGAACAATTTTGATGCTAAATATCTTAGCCATAGCTCTTTGAGTTCTTTAAAAGAAGATTTTTTAAGTTTTTACTATATGCATATAGGGAAAATCAATGACCCCCGGGGCAGGGCCAATTTTGACCCCAGGGCTTTTATTTGAACAAACTTGGTAGACACTTATTAGAACATGTTTCATGCTAAATATCTTAGCTCTAACTCTTTGGGTTCTTTAAAAGAAGATTTTTTAAGTTTTTACAATATGCATATAGGGAAAATCAATGACCCCCTGGGGTGGGGCCAATTTTGACCCCAGGGCTTTTATTTGAACAAACTTGGTAGACACCTATTAGAACATGTTTGATGCTCAATATCTTAGCCATAGCTCTTTGAGTTCTTTAAAAGAAGATTTTTTAAGTTTTTACAATATGCATATAGGGAAAATCAATGACCCCCTGGGGCGGGGCCAATTTTGACCCCAGGGCTTTTATTTGAACAAACTTGGTAGACACCTATAAGAACATGTTTGATGCTCAATATCTTAGCCATAGCTCTTTGAGTTCTTTAAAAGAAGATTTTTTAAGTTTTTACTATATGCATATAGGGAAAATCAATGACCCCCGGGGCGGGGCCAATTTTGACCCCAGGGCTTTTATTTGAACAAACTTGGTAGACACCCATTAGAATATGTTTCATGCTAAATATCTTAGCTCTAGCTCTTTGGGTTCTTTAAAAGAAGATTTTTTAAGTTTTTAATATATGCATATAGGGAAAATCAATGACCCCCTGGGGCGGGGCCAATTTTGACTCCAGGGCTTTTAATTGAACAAACTTGGTAGACACTCACTAGAAGATGTTTCATGCCAAATATCTAAGCTCTAGCTCTTATGGTTTTTTAAAAGAAGATATTTAAAGTTTTTTCTTTCGGTTGCCATGGCAACCAGAGTTCTGCATGGAATTAAATTCTTTGAACAATTTTTAAAGGTGACCACCAAAGGAACATTCCTGTGAAGTTTGGATGAAATTGGCTTAGTGGTTTATGAGGAGATGTCATTTTAAGTAAAAGTTTACGGACGGACGGACGCCGGACGAAAAGCGATCACAAAAGCTCACCCTGTCACTTTGTGACAGGTGAGCTAAAAAGTTATGACTAAGTCAATATTCATAATTTGAAATGGCCTGTTTCAAGTACAAATGAGCCGCGTCACAACACCAACATAATGGGTTTGCGACCAGCATGGATCCAGACCAGCCTGAGCATCCGCGCAGTCTGATCAGGATCTATGCTGTTCGCTTACCAACCCTATTACAAGTAGAGAAACTAATAGCAAACAGCATGTATCCTGATCAGACTGCGAGAATGCGCAGGCTGGACTGGATCCATGCTGGTCGCAATAGCATTACGTTGGTTTTGTCGTGATGCGGCTCAAATATAATTGTAATACAATGTGTAAATCAGGGTCTAAAAGTTAGTCATAAGGAGGACAAGAGTTAAATAGTCCACCAAGGAAACAACCTCTTTTAAGCAGTATAAAATTCATGGCTGTCCAAAGTGTTTACTATGGTGTTAGCATACCGAGTGACAAAGGAGTGCTAGAAGATAAAAATAGCAAGATTATAACACCAAACATTTACAGATATCCTTTATTTATAAACTATCTTCATAAATTAAAAGGTTTACTCAGTGTAACATGACAAATGTGGGCAAAATGTTATATTTTAGTACAATCTAATTAAAATTATAAGTACTACGAGTTGAGATATTCACTGCTATTTATGTATGGCTAATACCTCTCCCCCACACCGCACACACGTTATCTCAGAATCTTGCTTCAGTTATCATTATACTTAGACTAATTTTTGTTTATAGACTATTCTAGTTCATTGACAGTTAACTCAATTTTAATTAAATAAATAACTGACGGTAAATGACAGAAAATATTGTTAGAAAAAAAAAATATTGGATGGTATTTCTTCAGAACTTACACAGAATGTATACATGGACCTTGCTATAAAGTTCATATGGTATAATCTGCTTATGTGATATCTTCATACATGTTTATCTAAATATGTTTTTTCTCAATAATTGTAGCCCTTTTCCCACTCACAACCTCTGCCGTGGTAAGACTTCTGTTTAATTGATACAGATTCATTAATATTTAACATACTTCTATTATTGGATTCTGTACAAGGACTTCACATGCAGTAGCTGCAGTGAAACAGTTTCATTATAGTACTACTATAGCCTAGCCCTGGGTTCCAGTCTGTTGATTTTTTTATGTCCTTCTGTTAGGAAATCCACAAGTGCTATCAAAAACACAAACAAGTACGAAATAATGCATATAATGTAATGAATAAGCAAAAACTATCAACGCCTGAATCCCAGGCTTGTAAGTTGTACTACTACTACATGTACTATTGTAGAATTATTCAATTCAAGTTCACTCAGGGAAGACTAAGCTCCTGTTTTTTCTTATTGTTAAGTACTGATTCACTGCAGCAAAACGATTGTAAAATTTTGATTCACTATGACAAGATCAATGTAAAAATTTTATTCACTGTGGCAAGACCAATGTTAAATTTTGATTCAATATGGCAAGTCTTGACTTATGTAAAATTTTGATTGACTATGATATTATAAGATTAATGTAAAATTTTGATTCACTATGGCAAGGCTTTCGAATCATTCTAATTTCTTATTCACTGTGGCAAAACTTAAGAACTTTTCTGATTCACTGAGACAAGGCTAACTAGTGTAAGATTCAAACTCATTGTGGCATTCAGATTGAATTTTGTGCTAGACATTATGATAGTTTCTGCTTCTGTTTATTACACCTACAATGTAATTCTTTATAATTTTGTAAATAATATTTAAAACACATGTATATATACTGAGCCACCGGTACTTAGATTATATGAAACTTTTTCTCTTATAAATGCAAGTATGGACACTTATGATCAACTCAATGTATTACTAATCATAACTGTTGAAGTGTTTTTCTCACGTAAGCCAGATAACAGTATCATATTCTTATCATATTGTAACTTTCTGACTCACTTCAGAACAAATCACTTCATGAATATTGAATAAAATAACTTTAAATTATTTTCTATGCATTGACCTCTTTAAGATAATTAAACAGTGTATGTGGTATTTCCAAAATGACTGGAAATACACTCACAAAATAATGTCTTTCTCATCTCGAAGTTGGTAAACAATTTATACATGTAACATAATCTGACATGTCATGTCCTATAATTCTCCCTTAACCTCCACATTCTATATTATGCCAAGTATACGAGGGTTGTCCCAATATTCTGTGACAAGATTGATTAAAAACTAAATAAAACAGGGACGAATTTGATATTTTAATATGTTATAAAACCTTATAATTTAAACATTTTCACAAATTTTCATAGATAAATATCAACAAACAACAAAAATATGCCATAAACACCATGGCAACTAACTGAATCGAGGCGCACGTCCAACGTCAAAGACGGCGTTAAATCTATATAAGGCGCCTTTCTCAAATACTCTCAATGGCTTTCAAAGCAATAATGGTACCCATAAATCGTCAATTTCTGACTTAAATCATGTGGTTGTTATTGATGTTGAATGTTTGGATGGCATACATAATAATTTTTGCTTCCGGTCTCGTTACTCCTGTTTTTAGCTGTAGGAAATAGGCGACGAAGATAGGTCTTCCTATGCGTGTTTTCCTTATTTTCGCTTTTT